ATGTCTCCTGAAGTACATTGTTCACATAACAACAGTCATTGAACAAGAGATGAGGACCATTCTGGAAAGCAATTTGGAGTTATGCAAATAAAGTGGTTAAAATGCCTATGGCCCCTAATACAGAGATTTCTTTGCTAGGCATTTACCCTAGGAAGTAAAAACAAAAATGTCTCTGGATGCACAAAAATATTTGTAGCAGTATTTTTTGTTTCTTTTTTTATGAGTGTGATAGTAAAGAACTAAAATAAAGTAGATTGTCAACAGTTGTACAATGGCTAAACAAATTGTGATATATCAATATAATGGAATATTACTGTGCTATAAGAAAAGACAAATATGATAAATATAGGAAAGTATGAACATGAACTAATGCAAAGTGAAGTAAGCAGAGCCAACAAAACAACACACACTGACTGCAACAATCTAAAAGAACAACAATCAGAAAACAATTAAAAATGAGTGTTGCAAAATTATAAAGAACAAACATGGTGTCAAAGAAGAGATATGAGAAAACATATCCTCTCATTCCTTTGCAGAGGTAGAGGAAACTCACATCTGAAATAATGCATAAAATATAAGATTTTTTTTAATGCATTGATTTGTTTTTCTCATTTTTCCTTTAAAAAATTCTTTATTATAATGATGGCTTTCTATAATAGGGAAGAAGGGGGTAAATTTAGGTGATTTTAAAAGACAATATCAAAACAAGAAATAATAAGGGTGTATTCTGTTCTACCGATAACTTCCCATGCCTTTTGCAACATGGTGGGAAACAAATGGGAAAATGTTCTAGATATTCTCCTGAAATGACCTAGAAAAGAAAAATAATAAATAATATTATATAAAGTGTGTGTCTGACAGGTTCATTTTCCACAATGTTCTCAAAGCATAGCCTTATCTGGTGTGGATCCTACTAGAAAATGGACTAGGCAAATTTCTATACCCTCAGGCACCAAATAAGATAGTTCAGCACCAGTTCACCAACTCAGAAGAGTTCCAAATTTGAGTAGATTAACTTCTTCAGGCACTGGGGACAAGTACTAGTCCAAATTGGGCTGAGTAGCCACAGTGGTTTATAATGAAATTGTTAGGGATAGAGGACCATTTCAGGGAAGACTTGACTGACAGAATTTCTGTTAAGAGAACCACCACCTACACACACACAAATGAAGAGGAAATTAAATCACAGTGATTAATATGCTTGTGGAATAAAAAAAAACTACATTTGAAAATCTATAAAACTAAACATGAGGGAACTGTGGAAGGAAATCTCAGTAATTAAAGCAAAGTTTTTTCTCTAATTAGCTGCAATGCATCATTAAATCCTATTATAATTGTGACTGAAGAATATAACTTCTTTAATCTGCCTACTAAAGAGATGAATGAGAGTAAAAACTGAATTTTCTACAAACATTCATCTTTATACATATCAATCCATTTGTAGCATATAATCTTAGTTGTATGCTTCTAGCAAACTGTATTTATTTACATCTTTGGAAAAGAGATCATCAACAGACACTGAGATAATAAATACTTAAAGTTTTAAAGAATTTGATATATTGATGCACAAGAAGCCTGATTAAAAGATGCTTACCATAAACAAGATCATATGAAACCTATTCTTAATAGTGATTCAGGGTAAACTATTTCTCAGATAGTATTTAATTAATTTGATAGTTATCTTTTTAACATGGTGATTGTAGCTACCTATTTGAAGTGATTATCATCAACAGCCTTTTATTTTCTTCTTCAAACACTCCCATTTTGACAGGTTTCAATCATTTCAAATCTCATTACAAAACAGCTTACCAGATAGTCTCCATAATTTAAGAAAAGGCAATTCAATAATTCACTACTGAACAACAGGATGCAATGTGTTAGTCATACTTTAACCTAATTAGAATAAGGGCAGACATAGAAAAGTTAACACTTTCTTATCGAAAGGAGGAAGATTGGAAAGATGTTCTCAAACAAAACATTAAAAATGTATAGAAATATGTATATATGTGTGTATATACATATATATATTTTAAAAGACAGCATTTCTTGGAGCAATTGTAAAGATTGGTAGTACTTACCATTGGACCAACACAATATAATTGATATTGTTTTGCCAACAGATATAGGAGACTGTGGAAAGGCTAAAACTGAAAACTGGAACCGAAAGGTCCTCCATTGGAAATATCTGCACATACTCATCCAACTGATAAGAAAACAGTAAACAACTGGCTAAATCAAATATATTTGTTTACAGAAATGAAGAGGTTACTAATAGTGAGAGATCAGAATACTCCTAAAAGAAACTACAGAAACTTCATTCTTAAGGCCTCTGAACTTACAAATCAATGCAGGTTTTATAAAGAAATGATGGAAACTGTGTAAAATATCACTGCATATTGCAAATATTTAACATCTCTTTAATACCTAGCATGACACAACAAAGTAGTTGCAATTATATCTCAGAAATACACTGATGTTTCATAAAAGAGATTATAAAACTCACCACTATAAATACAAACTTTAAAATATTATTAAAAATTCAATAAATAAACTGTACTAGAATCTGATTATTATTACAAATGAAACAACAACCCACATTTGCCTGGACATAATATTGACTCGCATAAATTTAAGACTGGTGCTATACTGTCATCAATCAGAGGCATACTTAGTCATAGGGTGTTCCCACTGCATGAAGCCAGAAGAAACTGACTGAATGGTACAAGACTGAAAGCCATTTCCTTTTGTTTTGTTTTGTTTTTTGATTCAGTATTTTATTTTCCCCCAGTTACATGGAAAAATAATTTTTAACATTTATTTTTAAAACTTTGAGTTCCAAATTCCTCTCCCTTTCTCCCTTTCTACCCCCCATTTGGAAAGCAGGTAATTTGTGAAAGGCCATTTCTATGCTGGGTCTACATTTCAAGAGTAACATCAGCCCTACAGAACTGACCCAGCTTCTAGGACCATGGAGTAGAGGCAATCAGAATAATAGCATATACCAGATTGAAAGGCCATGACACTTTGAGAAGTATTAACTGCTTTTCAGCATCTATCCAGCAGCCTTTTAATAGCAATTGTATCAGCTCATTGTATTTATTAAAATAATTGAATTCTCATTAGCTAAATAAGTGTCAGAATTGCAAGCATGGCAAGAGATGTCTTTGTATTCAATAACTACAAAGGTTGTACTACACTAAACTTTCTCAAAGAAATTAAAGACAATCCTTACAACCCTTTCTTCCCCCCCAAGGACTTTTCTCATTTCTCTTCCACTTATTTGTCTCAAAGGAATCATAATCTTTCCTGTACATGATTCTTTCCTCCTTATTCATCCTTTTACTTCCATTGGCCTGGGTGTTCATGTCTTACTGGTTCCAATAAAATCAGCATCATTAAATAATGTACAATCTAGCCAGTGAAATTCTAGAGAGAAAGCAGTTCTTCTCCCTTCTCTGATATATTTTAATCATGTAAGCACCTTCTTCCTTTGACCAGAACACTCCCTCTATACTTCTAACATCCTGTTCAGTACCATTAACAGATCTCCTTCTCAAGTTACATTTTTCCTCCAAAAAACTCCCTATCAAATTCCTCTAACCAGATCATTTCTCCTTTCCCTTTGACAGAAAAACAAATCCAGAGGAAGAATTGCCATTGTAAGACTGAAAGTCATAGTCATTGGAATAAAAGCTAAAATTTGTCCAAATAAATTCATTGGTAGTCACCAACAAATGTACACTATAACAGAGGTGTACTGGAGACTGGCTAAAGAGGGCCAATTGTCACAAGTTCAATATGAGAATTAATACCTGGAAAACTGGCAGAAGTTACAAATCAGGTCTCAATTTTTTATTGATTTCTAGACTTAAGAAATGATGGATAAAATGTTAATATTGCAAACTAATCTTAAAAGTGTGTCATGCCTTTTCCAGAAAGCCAGTTATTAAACATTTACCAGCCCATCCTGTATGTCTACCTCTCATTTCAATTTTTGAGTCATTAGTTAACACAATTTTTTTTTCGGAATTGGCACACAATATATAAATTGAAAAATTCTGACTTTTTAACATTCTTCCCAAAACACTTCTTTTGTCATAGAAGTTGCTTCACCTCCTGCATTTGTTAAATTTCAGATGAGATCTGAGAATTAGGTACATATTTAGATTTGGTTTTGCTTGTTCATTGTAGAGGAAGAGTTTTAGTGTTTGTTGTTGACAGTGACAATGTTGTCCATTTTATGAAAATGAGATTGAGAGACAGAAATTGGAGTGGATGTTTTTTCCTTGTTTTAGCTGAAAAGAGAAGGAAGTGTAATTTCTAGGTGGTGTGAGGTAAGAAAAGATATTTACTTTATAAATTGAGGAAGCCTTAAATAAAAGAAAAAAATGTATTTTTTCAATTTTGAAAAATTGATAAATGAGAGTTGATGACAAGAGAGGAGGCATATTTATATTTTTTGGGCAGTGGACTGTTTCTACATCCCTTGTGACTGAATAAAATGGGTTATTTTTTGAATAGTCAACTCCTCTTGGAAGTATTCAAGTAGAGGATGTATAACTATTTGAGATGGATGTTGAAAACAAGGCTTGAGATTTGAATAAGAATTAGAGTATGTGACTTCTGAGATTCCTTTCAACTCTGAGATCTTATGATTGTTTTAGGTAGATAAGAGGTCAGGGCAAAAATCAAAACAAACAGGTAGCAGAGTTAATAGCAATCTAAAACCTTTAAAAAATTGTCAGGAGCAAGTGGGTGGCAGTGAAGGTATTGAAAGGAATCGTAGTGATGAATTACAAAAAATAGGTTTTCTAGAGTGACAGCATGGATTAGCCTTAGCTGGAAATATAAGTGATCATCATTCAATATATTGATTAAAATACCAATTATGAAATACAGTCAAACTAATCTACATTATATAGTGGGAACTTCACTAATAAATTATGCATGCATTAAATGAGTGTAATAACTGGAGGAATGAATGCTTAAGCATTTCATACCTTCTCTGTGTCAATGCCTTTTGACATGGACCACGTAGAGACAATATAATCCATAACTCGCTCACTAAGGCCTTTAGGGACTTGGTATAGTTTTAGGAAGTCCCGAACATTGTTCAGCATCTCATGGTAGCGATTGGTGTTGGCATACATTTGCTGGAAAATTGTAGTAACATTTCCAAAAATAGTTGCATATAGGAGAGCTGAAAGAGAATAAACAACAATAAGAAATAAACACAAATAATCAAGGAAAATAAAAAAGAAAGCATAAATAAAAAGACCATGTCAATGAACATCATAAGCTAGTTACATGTGTATTTCAGTGGGACATATGACCAAAAAAAGTGAATCTTGACCCAACTTCTTTAGTTAGGAAAATGAAACAATTAGTGACAAATGCTGATACCTGTGCATCAAAGATATCATAGTCCTTGATCTTGTGAGAATGACTTTCCTTCATATTGTCCCCTTTGAATAAAATTTCAGTTAAAATTTGTATCTTCACTGTCCAGGGACTGATTATCAAGTTTGGGAATTGATTTTTTATGACATTGTTTCTTTCCCTACATATCTGATGACTCTCAAAATCCTTTGCAGATTCATCTTCTATATCATGTCCCCCAACTGTGGGCCAAGGCTCTATTATATTCTCTTTATATATTCTCAAACTTGGTGACCTCATCAGCTCCTGGGGTTCAGTTATTATTTTTGTGCTCAATATTCCAAAGCTATGCATATAGCCCTAAAACCTCTCTCCTGAGTTGTAGATGTTCATCAAAAACTGCCTATTAGACATCCCATACTGCATGTACAGCAAACATCTCAAACTTAGCATATCTAAAATGAGACTCATTATGCCACCCCTCCCAAATCCCCTGGCTTCTGAACTTCCATATTAATTTTAGGAGTACTACCTTCCTTCCAACTACTCAAGTTTCTAAATTTGGCATTATCTTTAACTCTTCACTCTCAATTATCCATCCTATCTAAGTTGCCAATCTTTTTTCATATATTTTTCCACAATATCTCTCATTTCCATCCCCTTCTCTCTATTCACATAGCCACCACTACACTTGAACTACTATAGTGGCTTCCTAATTAGTCTCTCTGCCTCTAGTATCTCTTCTCCTCAATCCATCCTCCCCAGAGATGCCAAAGTGATTTTTCCTAAAGTGTAATTCTGTGTTACTCACCTCCTTCTATTCAATAAATACTAATGTCCACCTATTGCCTATAGGAACAAATATATAGTAATACCTTTGTTTGTCTTTTAAAGCTCTTCAGAATATGATTCCAACCATTTTCTGACATTATTATACATCACTCCCCTTACCATAATCTATTATGGACAGCCAAAATCATCTTTTTGCTACTCCTCACACATAATACTCTATCTCTAATCTATGCACTCTTGTATTAGCTGTTCCTCGAATGGACTCCAACTGCCTATTCTTAGAATTCTTTTTTCCCTTCAAAGCTCTACTCAAGTAATACCTTCTATGGGAAGTCTTACCTGATCCCTCAACTGTTAATTCCATTCCTCCAAAATTGTCCTTTATCTTCACTTTACATATATATATAGCATATATTTATTTATGTGTGTATTGTCTCCCCAATTGATTGTAAGTTACTTAATGTCTTTGTAGACTAGTAGAAGGCCTGGCACAAGATTGGTGATAAAATTCTTGCTCATTTATTTTTCCCATATCCCTGAGCTTCCTCATCTTTCACCTCCAATCTTGGCTTAGTATCACTTCTGATAAATTTTTGGTATGTTGCCTTCTGTGTAAGAAGTGCTAAATTTTACTAGATTGAGTTGAAAGTGAGAAAAGGTGCAATGTGAAATTGTCAACTTTTTTTTTCCTTATTAATAGCTTTTAAAAATGATAGGGAAGAAACAGAAATGAATGGTTAGAATATGTCCTGGGGATCACTTGTCATCTTATTTTTGTGCCAGCTCATGTTTTTACAATGCTTTAAAATGTACAAAGTGCTCAACTCACTCTGATATGGAAAGCTTAGGGTTGACTGCAAATTTTATTTACCATTAGTTAAGTGTATAGCCATCTTCATCTAAGGCAAATTCCACTCCCATTCTTAAAGAACATAAAAAAATAGTCATTCTTATTCTATGTTGGAGGATTGTAATACAAAGTGGTAGAAAAAATGAAGCTATCAGTGGCTACATACACTGAAAATAATTTTGTGGGGGGAAATATTTTATTTTCCTTTTTCTCTAACAGTTTTTCTCCTATGAAAATAATAAATTTATATTTATTTCACAACAAAAAGCTGTTAGTATTTCATATTAATTTACTCTATCACTGTGATTTAGGGATTCTGAAGCCAGGATAAGGTAATTTTTAAGACAGATTGCATTTTATTAGAACTGAATATAAAAAATATAGTGCTGACATTTCTCAATTGAATCTCCAAATCTTTGAATATTTAAACTTAAAAAATGCAGAGTCTACATCTTTAGTGTATTTCAGTAAGTATTAAAAAATATAATCACATGGAAATGTGTGAATAAGATAAAGTGATGAAGAAACAAATTAATACTCAAGTTTTCAAGGACAGGAAATAAGAATTATTTACTTCATGAGGAAAAATGCAGTTGTTGACATACTGCTACTGTAATAATTGTGTATCATAATGTTTAACTAGAAATTTTTGATAAATTTCTCAGGAATTCTGAGTATTTTGATATACTAAACTCATTTGATTCTCTAAGATACTTGCTTACAAACTAAATTGCCATGGTGTCTCATCTACACCATCCCTAATTGAAAGAATTTTCTTATGGTAGAATTTCCTGGTTTTATTTAAGTATACATTAATATATATTTAATTTAATTAATTAATTTAATTTAATCTAATTAATATATATTTAAATGATGGACAATTTCTTAATAGAAGGCTTGGGACATTATAAATCAAGAACATTATGGGCAGCATCATACACGTAAAACAGTATTATAGAAATATTCTTTTGTATTCTCATCTGAACCTTGTATTCTTTATCTGAACCTTATTCCATTCATTAATGTTGACTCGTTGCACAAGGACCATACTTAACATATTATAATAGTTGGTTTAAGGCTCAAGGTAGTGGGGGAAGTGGTAACAGAACTTGAAATAAAAAGTGAATAACATTCCACACTGTTGGATTCTTCAAAGAAAAAAATACAATTTGTAAAACATCATCACAAGCATTAAACTATGATTCAGATCTATTCTCACAAAAATATGGAGCCATCTTGAAAGGGAATCTACCATCAAACCATGCCTACTAGATAGAGAGAGTCTTCTCAACTTTGGAAAGAAAAGAAATGTAATCCACTTTCAGATTACATGTGAACACAGAAAAAATAGCTTTATTTTTTTTAACTCACACTTTTTTACCCCAAAACCATTCATTAATCACTGGTAGAAGAGTATCATCTTCATTTTCTAGGGGGATAGTGGGTGGCATGCAACATTTAGATCTAATAATAACTAAATGGGCAGTGAATTAATTAAAGAAATATAATTTTCATTTCCATGAAATATTCATACCCACACTTGGTGGATAGCAGTTCATTTGAGATTTATTAAATGATTCTGCAGATAGAATTCAAATGTCCAATCTGCCATCAGTAGAAATATTGCACACATTACTAGGGTCATTATAAAGAGCTACAGAAAAATTTGTAAATGATTTTTCCTTGCAATTTTTAGACTATAACAAATGATTTTATCATCATTCCACATTTGAACCTTCTGCAATACTACAGACTTCTGACATGAACAGAGTTGATGTCTACCCCTAAAAGATCTCACTTGCATTTTGTCTACTCTTTCACAGTATACTATTCAGACTACCCTAGTCTCTCTCCTGAACTCCAGTTCAACATTCCCAACTGCATTTTGGACATGTAGAACTGGATGTCATACAGCTATTTCAAACTCAGCATGCCCAAAACAGAATTTGTTCTCCCCATCTTTCTCTTCCCAACTTCCCTTTTATTGTTGAGGACACCACCATCTTTCCACTCACCCAGGCTTACAATTGGTTCATCTTCAACTCCTCATTCTAACTCATCCTACATCTATAATCATTGCCCAAGTCTTATTTTTAACTTCATAACATTTTTTGCATATACTCCTTTTTCTCCATTTACACAGCCTCTACTCACATTCAGGCCCTCATCATCCCATGTCTAGACTATTGCAGTAATCTTTCATTACTGGTTCAAATCTTTTCCCTCTCCAATCCAACTTTCACACAACTACCAAAGTTATTTTCCTAAAGTATAGGTCTGACCATGTTACTTCCTCCTATTCAAGAAAGTCCAATGTCTCCTTATTGGCTCCAGGATCAAATATAACATCTTCTGAGGCAGCTTAGTTGTGGAGTAGATAAAGTGCTAGGTATGTAATCAGAAAGACCTGAGTAAAATCTAGTCTCAGGCACTTACTAGCTGTGTGCCCTTGAGTAAATCACTTAACCTCTATCTGCCTCAGTTGCCTCAACTATAAAATAGGAATAATAATAGCACCTATCTCCTAGAGTTTTTGTGAGGTTCAAATAAGATAATAATAATTAAAGTGCTTTGTTCTAGTGCCTTAAACATGTAAAATGCTCAATAAATGCTTGTTCTCTTCTCTCTTCCCCAATTCTGTTTGACATTTAATGTTCTTTACAACCTTCCTATATTTCCAGTCTTTTTTCAGTGTACTCTCTTTCATGCATTTTATGATTCATACACACTTAACCAACATACTCTTCCTTGTATACAACAGCCTATTTCTCATCTTGGCAACATTGCATTGGTTGTTACCTATGCCTAGAATACTTTCCCTCTTCACCTCTTAATTTCCCTGTCTTTCTTCCAAATTCAACTCAAATACCATTTTCTATAGGAGGATTTTTTCTGGCCACCCAAGCTACTACTTTTTACCCTTCTAAGAGTATCTTCCATCTGCATTGGATATATCTTGTATCTAGTTATTTTCATGTTGACTCTCTAATTTGTCTAGGGAGTTCCTTGAAGGCAGAGATTTTTTTCCCCTTTCTTTGTATCTATAGTACTTAACCTAGTGTTTGACTTATAGTAAGCAGTTAATAATAATCTAAAATTGGTTAATAAAAATCTAAACTGGCTGTGCACAAGGATACATTGACATCTGACATAATTGAACACACCATTTCAATATTACA